CTCTGGAGGCCATTATGTGGAATGACATTACAATCCACCCGAGGAGATCACAGGGAGCGTTCAGCTTCCTTCCTCCATTCACACGGAATGAATGTTCTCGGAGATTCACACGGAATGAATGTTCTCAGGGTGAAAGTCTCTGAGGTGTCTATAAAAAGACCCCGTAGTGTTGCTCAGCCCCTCCCCCCCTCCATAATAGAACTACATATAAATGGATGTGAAATAAAGTGGATGAATTCCGGGGGCAGAACACAAGATTTCTACCCCTGTAACTGCCCCTCCCCCCAGTTTATATGATGAAAGGTGGCGGGTGGGGCAATCTGCAGGAGGTTTTTGGGCAGATCTGGCGGGGGGGGGGTCAGACATGTACTTATAATGTACATTACACGGAAGGTCCCAATCAGGAATCACCGGTTGGTCCCCGCGGTGTGGCCGGCATAGGCTGTAGTGCAGTACACGTGTGCTGTGTCTGCGGGGCGCTCGTTCATCTCTGTCACCGCCAATTACATTCCGCTGCTCCCCGCTAATTGGTATAAATTGTCCCGCCATCGGCTGCGACACACGGAAACACGCCAATTACTTCATGGCAATCTGCGGACACAACCGCAATCATCTTCTCTGCTTGCATGTCACACGGCTGTTACATGGGGGTCACATGTTCTTCTGCATGCTACATGGGGAGTCGCGTGTTCCTCTGCATGTCACATGGGGAGTCACGTGTTCCTCTGCATGATACATGGGGGCCACGTGTTCCTCTGCATGATACATGGTGGTCACATGTTCCTCTGCATGTCACGTGTTCCTCTGCATGATACATGGGGGCCACGTGTTCCTCTGCATGATACATGGTGGTCACATGTTCTTCTGCATGTCACGTGTTCCTCTGCATGATACATGGGGGCCATGTGTTCCTCTGCATGATACATGGGGGTCACATGTTCCTCTGCATGTCACGTGTTCCTCTGCATGTCACGTGTTCCTCTGCATACTACATGGGGGTCACATGTTCCTCTGCATGATACATGGTGCTCACATGTTCTCTGCGTGTTTTGTGTGTACAGTGTTCTGGGGGTTGTATGGTTTTCCCGTGTAATTCCATGGAAGAAATCGGTTTATGTTGAAATCCGACCTGAAGAGGAGGCGGGGCTAGATATTATAATGA